CGGGCTGGGGATTCGAACCCGCCACCTTAGGTGTATGTGGCTGGCGCCCTAGCCCCTTGAGCCACAGGCGCCGAGCCCAGGGCTGGGTTTCAACTCACCACCCTTGGCATATGGGGCTGACACCCTACTCACTGAACCACATGCACCACCCGTCTCAGTTTTTCTATTTTTAGTAGAGACATGGTCTCATTCTTGCTCAAGCTGCTCTCAAATTTGTGTACTCAAGTAGTCTTCCTGCCTTGGCCTCCCAAAGTTCTAGGATTACAAGTATGAGCCACCACGCCTGGCCAGGATTTGGTTTTAGAAAGAATTAGGTAAATTCAATTTCCTGTTAGTTCTGTACCTCATGTCAGTGTAAATTCTGAGAACAGATATGGTAGAATCACTTTTTTTTTGTTTAATTTAATTTTGTTTTCTTTTTTGAGATGGAGTCTCACTTTGTCACCCTTGGTAGAATGCCATGGCATCATAGCTCAGAGCAGCCTCCAACTCTTAGGCTCAGGTGATCCTGTTGCCTCAGTTTTTCTTTTCTTTTTTTTTTTAGACAGAGTGCTGTGGCATCATAGCTCACAGCAACCTCAAACTCTTGGGCTTAAGTGATTCTCTTGCCTCAGCCTCCCAAGTAGCTGGTACTATAGGCGCCTGCCACAACACCCAGCTATTTTTTTTGTTGCAGTTGTCTTTGTTGTTTGGGCCAGGCTTGAACTTGCCAGCCTTGGTGCGTATAGCTGGCACCATAACCACTGTGCTACGGGCGCTGAGCCAATTTCTTTTTTGGCGGGGGAGGGTAGAGACAGTCTCACTTTATTGCCCTCGGTAGAGTACCGTGGCTTCACACAGGTCACAGTAACCTCCAACTCCTGGGCTTAGGCAATTCTCTTGCTTCAGCCTCCTGAGTAGCTGGGACTGTAGGTGCCTGCACAACGCCCGACTATTTTTTTTGTTGCAGTTTGGCCGGGGCTGGGTTTGAACCCTTTACCCTTGGTACATGGGCTGGCGCCCTACCCACTGAGCTACAGGCACCACCCCAGTTTTTCTATTTTTAGTAGAGATGAGGTTCTAACTTTTGCTCAGGCTGATCTCATACTTGTGAGCTCAAGTAGTCCACCCGCCTCAGCCTCCCAGAGTGTTGGGGTTACAGGCATGAGCCACCGTGCCCAGCCTCTTTTCCTGTTTGAATGCTTTATTTTTACTTCTGTGTCAGTTAACCTTACTGTGAGAGCTGTGAGGAAACACTGTAGAATGATGGTATAGCAGAAAGAACTGGAAGAGGCAGCTGTAATGATGATCTAGCCCCAAATGCTTGCCTGACAAATGGACAGGGTGGCCTAAACCCACTGAGTGCCATCCCCTTCCTTCTCTGAGAGTTACGGGCAGAGCCAGTACAGAACTCAGGTTCCTCAATTTGCATGTGGCCTGGTAAAAAAGGGAATCACTAGGAAGAGAAAACCTATCGAAGCCTGACTTTATTTTGAATGCCTTCTGGAGTGTATAGTAATGTAGGACAGATTTATGTTCCTTTATGATAAAATTACAGCAAGCCCTTGTGGGTTCCTTTCTTTTCTTTCTACAACTTGTTTTATTCGTAGCACATCCTTGATCCTCTTTTCCATCTGCGTTTTCTGAATTTTTTTTACTTTCATTGTTTACTCATAAGGGTGATAAAACTTCAGAGATGGTAGAACAGAAGAAAGAATGCAGGGATGCAGACATTTGGAAACCTTTTAAACTGGTCAATGTACATGATTTAAAAGTATATATTATTTAATAGTACTGTAGTTAGTATACCCAGAGTACATAATTCCTGTCTCTCCCTGCTCAAAGTTAAATGTAAAATTATATCCACTACTTTCCATAAATTCACCCTTTAATTCAAGAAATATTTTGCCCTTGGTTGTATAACAGTCCCTGGTCCTCAAGTGGCTTACATTTAGTGAGGCAGAAAGACAATAAACAAATAAGCAAATAAGGTTCGGCACCCAGAGCTCAGTGAGTAGGGTGCCGGCCACATACACCGGGGCTGGTGGGTTCGAACCTGGCCCAAGCTTGCTAAAAAAACAACAACAACAATTACAACTAAAAAATAGCTGGATGTTTTGGCAGGTACCTGTAGTCCCAGCTACTAGGGAGGCTAAGGCAAGAGAATCGCTTAAGCCCAAGAGTTTGAGGTTGCTGTGAGCTGTGATGCCACAGCACTCCACTGAAGGCGACATAGAGAGACTCTGTCTCAAAAAAAGGAAATAAATGTATAGTTTCTAGAATGTTAGAGGAGCGTACATTTTAAATGTTATATTAGGGAAGAACTCGGAAGAAGTAACATTTTATCAGAGACAAAAATAAAATGTTACAGAAAAATAACATTCCTCAGAAGAATGAGTGAAACAGCTCTTGGAGGGGAGCATTGATTCCTGCTATTTGAAGAATGGTCATATTAGGGGAGACGTCAGCCAAATTTGGGGGTGCCTCAGGTGATGGGAAGCATTCGGGTTTCCATTTTTGTTTGTTTTTTGAGACAGAGTCTCACTATGTCACCCTGGGGAGAGTGCCATGGTGTTACAGCTCACAGCAACCTCAAACTCTTGGGCATAAGTGATTCTCTTATCTCAGCCTCCCAAGTAGCTGGGACTACAGGCACCTGCCACAATGCCCGGCTATTTTTTTGTTGCAGTTGTCATTGTTTAGCAGGCCTGGGCCGGGTTCAAACCCGCCAGCCTGGGTGTGTATGTGACTGGTGCCCTACCCACTGAGCTATGGGTGCCACTCAAACTTCTGGGTTTTATTCAGTGTGTGTTGGGAGTCTTGTTGAGGGTTTGAACAGGGAATGACATTATCTAATAATGGAATAGAAGCAAGGTGCTTCCATTCAGCCTGAGACTGGAGCTATACAGGACCATTAAAACTCTGGTCTTACTGCGTTGTGTGCCATGTTGCTTCTCAGTGTTTTATACTATTATCCATCTTTTCTTCTTGTAGATTGTCTATGCTGAAAGACCTCTCACAGACAACCACAGATCCCTGGCTTCTTATGGTTTGAAAGATGGAGATGTTGTGATTTTACGACAGAAGGAGAATGCAGACCCTCGACCTCCAGTGCAGTTCTCAAGTAAGACCGCTCCCAGTGTTTAGGTTCCTCTCACATAAATGTCAGTGGGTAACAGAACATAGGGTTCAGTGTTGGATTTGTTTGGGATTCAGACTACCAGGATACAGATCCTGAATCTACCTCTTGCCTGCTATGTAACCTTGGATAAGTTATGAATGGTCTATAAATGCGTTTCTTTTTTTCTTTCTTTCTTTTTTTTTTTTTTTGAGACAGACTCTCACTTTGTCCCCCTCATTAGAGTACATGGCATCATAACTCACAGCAACCTTAAACTCTTGGGTTCAAGTGATTCTCTTGCCTCAGCCTCCCAGGTAGCTGGGACTACAGGCACTTGCCACAATACCTCGGTAGATTTAGAGCTGGAGTCTCACTCTGGCTCAGGCTGATCTCGAACCTGTGAGCTCAGGCATTCTACCCGCCTTGGCTTCCCAGAGTACTAGGATTACAGGTGTGAGTCATAGTGCCTAGCCTTGGTTTCTTTTCTTTTTTTTTTTTTTTTTTTAGACAAAGCCTCAAGCTATCCCCCTGGGTAGAGTGCCATGGCATCACAGCTCATAGCAACCTCCAACTCCTGGGCTCAAGCGAGTCTCCTGCCTCCGCCTCCCAAGTAGCTGGGACCACAGGCGTCCGCCACAACGCCCGGCCATTTTTTTTTAGTTGCAGCCATCATTGTTGTTTGGCAGGCCCGGGCTGGGGATTCGAACCCGCCACCTTAGGTGTATGTGGCTGGCGCCTTAGCCGCTTGAGCCACAGGCGCCGAGCCTAGCCTTGGTTTCTTAACAGGTGCTATGATTAGTCCCAAGTCCTAGAGTTGATGTGAGGATAATACATGTAAAACTTCCAGCACATAACAAGCCCTCAATAAATGTTCACTTCTATTGTTATCACTGATAATTATTCAATAATCTTTATCTTTGAGAAGAGCTTCAGAGACTATATAAGCTTCTAATTTTTTTGTTTTGAGACAGAGTCTCACTTTGTCACCCTTGGTAGAGTGCTAAGGCATCACAGCTCACAGCAACCTCAATCTCTTGGGTTTAAGCCATCCTCTTGCCTCAACCTCTCAAGTAGCTGGGATTACAGGCACCCACCACAACACTGAGCTATTTTTAGAGACAGGGTCTCAACTCTTGGTCAGGCTGGTCTTGAACTCCTAGGCTCAGGTAGTCCACCCAGCTCGGCCTCTTGGAGTGCTGGAATTATAGGCCTGAGTCATCGTGCTGGCCTTAAGCTTATAGTTTCTAATTGATGTTTACTATTTTGTATTTGGCTTTCAGTGCCTCTGTGGAGCATTTTACAGTCATTTAGGCACTTAACACCCACATCTCACATGATCTCATAACTTGGTTGCGGGGGAAGAGATTCCTCTTTACAATTTATTATTATAAGAGATGAAGCAAAGATTTTAAATGGTATCTTCAAAACTACATAGCTAATAAGTGAAGACAAAGAAATTGAAACTTAGTGCTTTTTCCATTACTCTGAACTTGGTAAACATTAAATATCTAGGCCATTAACTTCTGGTTCTTCAACCAGCTGTGTTAGTCATGTGAAAAGAAATGGTTACCTATCTTGGAAGCTCTATGCAGAATAACTTTATAGTCTGGAATGTGTGCATTGGGATTTAGGAGCTTTCTGTGTTACTGAAATAATATGCAGAATTGTGTGTGTTTGGTGGGGTGAAGGTCGCTTTCTTCACATGCTCAGAGGGGCTCATGATCCACAGAAAGTTTATAAGGTCTCGATCCTGATGTGGAACTACTTAGTGAAATGTGTTAGTGTTTTCAATTCTCTGACATATTCTGGCAGATTTCTTTAAATAGTGTTTAGCCTCTAGGTCACCTGGTTTTAAAGTTCATGGTAACAGATGATAGGAGTCTGGACGATCACCAACTCCAGCTGTGAGCACAGTGGTTCCATTCAGCCTGAAACTGGACCATCAGGCACTGGCTCCACTAGATCAGTATTACATTAGTCCCTTGGGACTGTTGCTAAACTTTATAAAGAGCAGTTGTTCAAATATACCAATCAAGAAAAAACAAAATCTTCCTTTGGTTAATTTGGCGTCTGTAAGCTCTGGAGAGTTGCTGTTTTTTTCCTGCAGTGTCCCATATGGACGAGAAAGCCAATAGGATAGGAGCAGAAGGGACCTGGTCCATACAATAAACATGTTTTTCAGAATTCTCCTGAAGTGAATGGACTCTCAAGATAATGTGTAGCAGGGAAGGAGATAAAATTTCTTGGCTTGCGAAGAAGGCCTGCTCACATATGTTTTGCCAGCTAATGTAGATTAACTACTCAACAGAGATCTCACCATTCACTATTTTTCATTGGTTGAGACTTAATACACACACTTCTCGCGCGCACACACTCTCGCTCTCTCTCTCTGCCAGCTGAAGTCTATTTGAAGGAAGTAGCTACCCGAACCTGTGCTAAAGGGCAGAAACACCTTACGCCTGAGTTTAAGCATTCCCTTTTTCTATTTGAGGTCCACAAGGCTTCAAGATAGTCCCATACTTGGGACATCGTTTGACCTTCACATACATTTTGGGGCTTAAAGGAATGTTGGTTAACACAGGCCTAGCCCCTCATGTTCTACTTACTTTTCTCTTTTTTTTTAAACGCAGCTTTATTGAGATAATTCACATATCATGTAGTTCAGGCCCATAAAGGGTACAATTCAGTGGATTTTAGTGTATTCATAGAGTTGTGTAGCCATCATCACATTGAATTTCAGCATATTTTCTTTCTTTCTTTCTTTTTTTTTTTTTTTTGTTGAGACAGGGTCTCACTTTACCATCCTTGGTAGAGTACCCTGGCATCATAGCTTACAGCAACCTCAAACTCCAGGGCTTAAGCACTTATCTTCCTCAGCCTCCCAAGTAGCTGGGACTACAGGCAACTACCACAACACCCAGCTGTTTTTTGAGAAGGGTGGGGTCTTGCTGTGGCTCAAACTGGTTTTGAACCTGTGAGCTCAGGCAATCCAGCTGCTTTGGCCTCCCAAGTGTCAGGATTACAAGCATGAGTCAGACTTTTAGCACATTTTCATCACCTTAAAAAGAAACTCTGTAGCCACAGGAGTGATTCCCCTTTTCCCTCTGAACTGCCCTAGGCAACCAGTCTATTTTCTGTCTTTTTGTATTTATGTTTGGGATATTTCAATAGAAATGGAGTCATACTGTATGTGAGTCCTTTGTGTAAGAATTAAACCCTTTTGTGGCTCAGCAGCTGGGGTACCAGCCATATACACCTGAGCTGGTGGGTTCAAATCCAGCCCAGGCCCTCCAGACAACAGTGATGGCTGCAGCCAAAGAATGGCTCGGCCTTGTGGTGAGCACCTGTAATCCCAGCTACTAGGGAGGTGGAGGCAGGAGAATCACTTGAGTCCAGGAGTTGGAGGTTGCTGCGAGCTGTGACGCCATGGCACTCTACCTCTACCCAGGGTGACAGCTTGAGCCTCTGTCTCAAAAACAAACAGACATGGGCTTAAGCAATGCTTTTGCCTCCACCTCCCCAGTACCTGAGGCTACAGGCTCCCACCACAACACCTGGCTATTTTTAGAGACAGGATCTCACTCTAGCTCAGGCTGGTCTGGAACTCCTGAGCTTAGGCAATCTACCTGCCTCGGCCTTCCAGAGGGCTAGGATTACAGGCATGAGCCATTGGGCCAGGCCTTAAGGATAAATTCTTTTTTTTTTTTTTTTTTGAGACAGAGCCTCAAACTGTCCCCCTGGGTAGAGTGCCATTACAGCTCACAGCAACCTCCAACTCCTGGGCTCAAGCAAGTCTCCTGCCTCCGCCTCCCAAGTAGCTGGGACCACAGGCGCCCGCCACAACACCCGGCTATTTTTTGGTTGCAGCTGTCATTGTTGTTTGGCGGGTCCGGGCTGGGGATTCGAACCCGCCACCTTAGGTGTACATGGCTGGTGCCTTAGCCGGTTGAGCTATAGGCGCCGAGCCAGGATAAATTCTTAAAGATAACAAGATTGTGGCTAGGCGCCTGTTGCACAGTGGTTATGGCGCCTGCTACATACACCAAAGTTGGTGGATTTGAATCCGGCTCAGGCCAGCTAACCAACAATGACAACTGCAACAAAAAATAGCCAGGCATTGTGGCGATTCTCTTGCTTCAGCCTCCTGAGTAGCTGGGACTACAGGCTCCCGCCACGACACCTGGCTAGTTTTTCTATTTTGTAGAGACGGGATCTTGGCTTTGCTCGGGCTGGTCTGGAACTCCTGAGCTCAGGTAATCCACCTCCCTCCCTTGGCCTTCCAGAACCCTAGGATTATAGGTGTGAGCCATCAAACCCAGCCTATCTGTACTTTTTTTAAAAATCAAATAAATTTGGGAGGCTGATATCAGTGGATTGCCCTGAGCTCAAGGTTTGAGCAAGAATGAAACCCCGTTTCTAAAAATAGCTGGATGTTGTTGCAGGTGCTAGTAATCCCGGCTACTTGGAGGCTGAGGCAAGAGAATTACTTGAGTCCAAGAATTGGAGGTTGCTGTGAGCTATGACTACCGAGGGCTATAGCATGAGACTCTGCCCCCTCCCCAAATAAATAAGTAAAAATTTGATATATATTCTGGGGTTTTTATCAGGCAAAAATTGGGGGTTACTACCATTGCCTATCCCCCCTTTTCTTTCCTGTTAGTTCCTACTCAGACTATAAGCTTTACATTCAGAGTCAGCGTTGAGAAAGGGCAAGAGAAAAGGTATTTGTGTCTACAGTTGGCATTTGCTGCTGTTCCATACTATGGATGAGCAAGCGTTCTGCTGTTGCCTTCAAATGCTGTTCTTACGGAGTTGAGTAAACTTTGAATTGATTTTCCCCCACAGACTTACCCCGAATAGATTTCAGTAGTATAGCTGTGCCTGGCACATCAAGCCCACGGCAGCGCCAGCCACCAGCAGCACAGCAGTCCCACTCATCTCCTGGAGAAATAGCTTCATCTCCTCAGGGCTTGGACAATCCAGCCTTGCTCCGAGATATGTTGCTGTCCAACCCACATGAGCTGTCCTTGCTAAAGGAACGCAATCCACCGTTGGCCGAAGCACTGCTCAGTGGAGACCTTGGTAAGATTATACGTTTGGCGGGCTGTCAAGCTGGCTTGAGGCGCCGCAGTTGTGTCCCAACAAATGGGAAGAGCCTCAAACTGCTGGTGTTTCGATCTATCCTGTCATGTGATTAACAGACAGGCAGCTGTCTGTGAGAGGATAAATCAGTGTCAAAGACCAAGGCTGAGTTTAACTAGCAGTAGCAATAGGATCTTAGGACTGAAATCTATCTAGACCAGCCCCCTTAGTTTACTTTTTTTTTTTTTTTTAAATTGAGGTATGTCATCCTCAGTAGAATGCCATTGCGTCACAGCTCATAGCAATGGTTTTAAGCTGTTCAACGCTTGGGTTCAAGCTATTCTGTTTGCCTGAGCCTCCCTAGTAGCTGGGACTGCAGGCGCCTGCCACAACACCTGGCAATTTTTTTGTTTGTTTGTTTTATTTAGCAGGCTCGAGCTGGCTTCTAACCCACCAGCCCCAGGACATGTGGCCAGTGCCTTAACCGCTGAGCTATGGTGCCCAGCCATACATGGTTTTTTCTCATTGTTTTTAGGAGCATATAATCCAGGTACTGGTATTTTGATCTTCAATTAAAGAGAATACCAGCAAGCTAGCTGATTCTGGCTGAAATGGAATTAGTTACAGGGAACAGGTCCAGTACCATTAACTTACATGGCAAAAAGGACCACTCATCCCCATCTACTCCAGGTTTAAGTGGTAGCAGAGTTGTTATTAACAGGTTTTCTTAGGCTATATTTTAGCCATTTTTTAATGAAACAATACTTTTTTTTTTTTTTTTTTTTTGCCTTTGGAAGCCCTTCCTTTTTGGGAAATAAATACAGAATCAAATAGGTGAGCCCAAGTGCTTACTTTTTTAGTCTTTTCTTTTTTTAATGAGACAGAGTCTCACTGTGTTGCCCTCAGTAGAGTGCTGTGGTGTCACAGCTCACACCAACCTCAAACTCTTGGGCTTAGGCAGCACCTGTGGCTCAAAGGAGTAGGGCGCTGGCCCCATGTGCTGAAGGTGGCAGGTTCAAACCCAGCCCCAGCCAAAAACTGCAAAAAAAAAAAAAAAAACTCTTGGGGATTAAGTGA